CTGAAAGTTGGTGTCACATGCTTTTGTGTTCTCGGGTTACCCCTGCTTCTGAGTCTTCCGAGACTGTAGGTCAGAGAGCAGGGAAGTATTTCAAGAGCGCCCCGGCCTGACTCTGCCGATTTCCGCTGCCGCTGTTGCTGAAGGCAAGAAATTTTAATCGAGTCCTCGGCCGCTGAACCTGGCAAGTTTTGGCGATCAACCGCCTTGCCGGGCCGTTTGCGATAAAACGCTGCCTTAGTCACTGGCCGCAGAAGTCGCAAGAGAGAAAACGGGTTGCCAGAGCAACAAGCCTTTTGACGCACCTCATTTGTGATTTTACACTCCCGCCCGCCAGGATTCTGCACTTCCTGGACCTGCACTGAACGACTGTCGGGCCCTGGCAAGAATTTTTGCTAATGAGCCAGAGTAACGCAAGAAACTCCGTATTTTTGGAAAGACATTCGCAGGAAATCCCTGCAAGATGCAGAGAAAAAGGCGTGGCAAATCATCATCATTTCATCTCGCTGACATATAAACTTCACAGACTATCCGGGGTGTAGTGTCGTAAATTCTTATTGAAGCTTTTAATATACTTGGGAATTTTAACAACATATCAGAACTTTATCTTGTAACCGAACAACCCACGAACCCCTCACGAACCCCCAAAACGTTCGCAGAAGTTCGCCGAAGGGTTTTTGAAAAAACGAACTTCGTCGAAGGGTCAACCTTTGCCTGACAGACCGTTGCCCCCTTCTGCGTTCCCCTCAGTTGCGGTTCTATGGGGCCTTGGTGTACGTACTCAGTGTACAGCGGCTCAAACCCACCCCCTCCCCTCCTCTCCCCCCGATTTCGGGTTGCGTACTGCATACGTGCTATAGTATCTGGCAGTACGTGGTGTGATTTACCACGTACATGTGTACATGTGCTTCTGCAATCTTGGTAGGCTTCTTGTCAACTTTAAACGGTCCGCGTGTACGTAGGGAAGTATACCGTGCTGCCTTTTAGCTGTGTTGTCAACCTCACGGCAACAGACTCCGATCGTCCCCATTGCTTGCTTCTGCTTGCATTGCTTCGATCTACGACTGGTTGCCCAGGGCTTTGTGACCGATAGTTAAGTGGATTCCTCTGCTTTTCAGAGGTGCCGTAGGGCCTCTGCATCCGATGGTGGATTGCTGCTCTGCTGCTGCCGTTTAGTTTTAGGCACTCTGAGTGCCTGATCCAACGAGCGTTCGATCACTGCCGTTTTCCTGGCCCAGACCGGCAGCTGTGATCGGCCGCGCCACCGAGAGCGGTGACTCCGATCGGTCCGGTTCCCCTCGACTGTCGGTTCTTCCCTAATGACGCCAGTCGCACGGGATGGTGCGGAGCCCCATGATGTGCTTGCGGTCGCGGGCACAGCCCGCAAGACTCCAATACGGCCACTCCGCCACTGGCGGGGGCCGGATTACCTCCGGAATCTGAGCTACTAGCTCGCGCAACCCCGGGTAGCGAATATCAATCGCTGTCCCGCCCGGCACTGCCGCGGCAGCTCGGGCTGTCAGCGATGATGGAAACCTGAATTCCGTCGGAGTCACTGCTCGGGACGGGGATGGAGGCAACCGACCCTGTCGTTTCAGAGGCACTTTTCCCTTCCTGTTCAACGCTTGCAGCCAAGGAAGGCTTTTTAAGCCCCAAGGGCGGCCTCCAGCTGCTTCTTTTACTTTTAATTTTTCCCGAAAGCATCGCGGGTTCTTCCGAGCCCTCGAGAGAAGTCCATAGATGACAGACATAGAATCGAGTACACAGATGACATGCATCGAGTGAAGTACATAGAGTCGAGTACATAGATGACTTACCAGGACTCTAACTAACTCTATGCACTGTGTGCTATGACTCTATGACCTTGACTCTATGCATTTGACTCTATGCACTCGACTCTATGGCTCTATGACTCTATGCACTTGACTCTATGACACTTTGACTCTATGACACTATGACTCAGGGTGGCACCGTCGTCATCGATCGGGAATGCAACCCTTCACAGGAATTGGCCTGGTCGAGCGCCCAAACGCTAGGTAAAGTTACACACACTAAAACTTATTAGGCGCCGCGCGCAACGCTTCACAGGAATTGGCCTGCATGACCGAGCGCCCAAACGCTAGGTAAAGTAACACATTTTAGGGTTCACACGCAACCTTTCACAGGGATTGGCCTGGTCGACCGCCCAAACGCTAGGTAAAGTTAGCTACACAAGTTATTAGGCGCCGCGCGCAACCCTTCACAGGGATTGGCCTGGTCGAGCGCCCAAACGCTAGGTAAAGTAACACATGTTAGAGTTCGTGCGCAACCTTTCACAGGGATTGGCGTGATCGAGTGCGCGAACGCGAGATAAAGTTGCTACTTTGAAGCGCTTTTGCAATCCTTCACAGGGATTGGCACTTTGCAACCATTCACGGGTATTGGCATGGTCGAATGCACGAATGTTAGGTAAAGTTGCTACTATTGATGTGCATTGAAATGAATTTTGCAACCGTTCACAGGGATTGGTGTGGTCGAACGCACGAACGCGAGGTAAAGTTACTACTTTTGATGTGCATTGAGGTGAAATCTGCAACCCTTCACAAAGATTGGCGTGGTCGAGTGTTCGAACGCGAGGTAAAGTTAACACTTTTGCTGCGCATGGTAGCTGTATAGTGTATATAGTAGTAACAGCAGTATTTATAGTAGTAGTAGTAGTAGTAGAAGTAGTAGTAGTAGTAGTAGTAGTAGCAGTAGTAGTAGTAGTAGTAGTAATTGTAATAGTAGAATTAATAGTAATAGTAGAAATAGTCGTAATAGTCGTAATACTAGTAATACTAGTAATACTAGTAATATAGTAGAAATAGTAGTATTAGTAGCATTAGTTGCATTAGTAGTATTAGTAATTAGTAGTAATAGTAGTAAGTGGTAAAGTTGCTACTTTTGATGTGCATTGAAATGAATTTTGCAACCGTTCACAGGGATTGGTGTGGTCGAACGCACGAACGCGAGGTAAAGTTACTACTTTTGATGTGCATTGAGGTGAAATTTGCAAACCTTCACAGAGATTGGCGTGGTCGAGTGTTCGAACGCGAAGTAAAGTTAAAACTTTTGCTGCGCATGAAGGTGTAGTAGTAATGGTAGTAATAGTAGTACTAATGGTAGTAATAGCAGTAATGGTAGTAATAGTAGTATTTGAAGTAATAGTAGTATTAGTAGTAATAGTCGAAATACCAGAAATAGTAGTAATAGTAGTTTAGTAGTAATAGTAGCAAGTGTAGTAGTAATAGTAGTAATAATAATAGTAGTATTCGTAGTAATAATAATTGTAATAGTAGTAATAGTAGTAACAGTAGCAGTGGTAGCAGTAGTAGCAATAGTAGTATTAGTAGGAGTAGTAGTAGTAGTAGCAGTAGTAGTAGCAGTAGTAGTTGAAATAGTCGCAATAGTCGTAATACTAGTAATAGTAGTAATAGCCCTGCACCCAGAAACTTTGAAACCCAGAAGCACTAAACCCAGAACCCTTTGAAACCAGAAGCCCTAAACCGCAGTGCTAAACCCGGAAACTTGAAACCCAGAAGCACTAAACCCAGAACCCTTTGAAACCAGAAGCCTTAAACCGCAACGCTAAACCCAGAACCCCTGGAACCAAAAACCCCTAGTCCCGACACAAGCTGACGGGATTTCAATACATCGATCTCGGCATTACTATGTACTTCATAATTAGATGCACTTCACTCTATGCCTCTGTGGTTGTATGCACTGGATTCTATAACGTAGCACAAAACTCTCGCTAATGATGCTTTCGGGCCAATTGTTTTCTAGTTATGCTTGAAGGCTTCACAGCCGACCTCCCGCCTTCCTGCAGAGCCTTTCTTTTTCTTTTTCCGCTTCCCCCAATGTGGCTACCTTGCGCCTCTTTTATGCACAGTGCTGCAATGCCCGAGTGGCATTTTGTGTGGGAAACCCTGTTACCAAGGGATGTACAATAGAAACAAAGCAGTGGGCCAGCGGAGAGGCAGGTAAGATGAGTACGTGCGTTGGCGAACGAAGACGGCACACCCATCTACCTGTTCTCGTGTAAATGTACCTGCGATCTTTTCTGTAGTGGCGTAGGGCTAAGCCAAGAACCCCACGGAGTCTTTTGATTCTGCATGGCAACCGGGCAAAGCCATAAACCTGGAAGGTTGATGAACACCCTTTTAACTGCTTGTGCGGCTTCAGATCTTCACCTCTGTAAGTAGATTTATGATTCGACAAAGACAAGCCAGAGGGAGGATTTTTTGCACGAGTGTGTGTGTGTGTGTGTGTGTGTGTGCGTGTGTGTGTGCACGCGATTGTGTGTGCGTGTGTTTGTTTGGTTGCTTGTTTGGCTGGTTGGTTGTATGTTTGTGCTGTGAACTTGGGTTTCTCGAAGGTTGCGTCAGGTCCGTTATCGCAACGACGTGCATGGCATGGCATGGCATGGCATGTGCATTCTGTCCCAAGCCTTTTCGTTTCTGCTGCTAATTGTTCATCGTTCTGCATACCCTTGTGGCTGGCCAACACCCCCACACCCAAGCAACCACACACCCCACCCGCACACGGCACACGCACACCCCCCCCACCCCCACCCACCCCCACCCACTCCCACCCCCACCCACCCCCAAGCACACCCACACAAACATGCAACCAGGCAAGCACACAACACACAAAGAAACACGAACACGTAACCGCACAAATGCACACTCACACACAGACACATGCCGGGGTGTGTGCAGTACTTGGCCGCGGCTGGGCTTCCGTCGTTACAGCAAAGCTTTGCAATTCTTGATGTGCTCTGTGGGACCTTGGCCGGCAACATGCTTGACACGGGTGTGGCAGAGGCTCTCCGGCGACGGCATGCCGGGCAAGGGCTGCAAGGTCTGGGGCTGCAGAGACACGCAGGCCATGGCCAGGGAGCCAAAACGGCCATGAGCCTAATTGCTGGCAAGGAGCGACCCCTTGAAAGACCAACTCCCCGCGCTGCCTTGGATCCGTGGAAGGAGAAGCACCATGCCCGAGCGAGTCACAACTTCAGCTGCCCTCTCTTGCCACGCAGTCCCTTCCATGGTGGAGGCCGTCTAGAGACGGAGCGTCACTTAAGAGAGACCTTAAGACTCTAAACCGCTCACGCGTGCTGCGGGTTTTTGCAAGGTACGGGTCTTTGGTCTTGCGCGTGGCAGCCTCGCCGCCTCGCCTCGCCAGTGGCAAATGGGTGTGTACGCTCTGCGCGTCTCTGAGGATGCTGCCGCTTGACAATGTCGCACTGCCAATGGGAAGCTGCGAGTCCCAGGACTCCGACAGATCAGAGGTGCAAACAGGATCGCAGCATCGCGGTGGCATGACGAGCTGCGCGCAAGTCATCTACAAGCCGTAAAACGCTAAAGGGTTCCAGCTGTGTACAGACTTCTGCCAGAACCTATAGAGGCTCCCCAGAAGCTGCAGGAAGACATGGATAGTTGTCATTTGATTGTTTCTAAGTGCAGGACTTGTGGCTCCTTCGAGGCTGGTTACGAGCTCTTGCACTCATCATGCTAGTCTGCTAGTCTGTGTGCTTGCCGCAGACACGGCGGTGGTTATTCACATTGAAGATTGAGCCGGAAGAGCCGGCCTTTTCCCCCTAACCCTACCCCGGTCATCTGAGGATTACAGTTGAGCAGGCCGCGAAGTCGCCGCCCGAACATTGGGCGGCCCCGAGCCAAAACGGCAGGGACTGCGAGGAGTGCCTTTGAGAGCTCACGAGCGTGTAGCCAAGCGGCATCCTATCAAAGGCGCTCTTCACCTGTGGCCTTGTACATACCTCAACTTGCGAGTCCTCGATGCGGAAGCGAGGGAAAAACCTCTGCGCCGCTCTGGGTGAGAGAGGAGAGAGGAAAAGAGGAGGAGACTGCGCCTTGCTGCAATCGCATCGCTTTCCTCAGCTCTGAGCCTGGGCTCAGCTGCCACCGCATCCGCGAATGGAGTCCTTCACCGACCGATCGCGATCTCTTCGAAAGTCCGAGGGCCCAGTGGCGCAGTGGCGCAGAGATCGCAGCTCCGCGGCTCTCCGCCTCCGCCTAGGCGCTTGAAGCACGCGGCCTCCTTGCACTTGCGGCAGATCCCGTGCCTGCACGCGGTCGCCAGCTCGGCCTCCGAAAGGGAAACGAGAGAAGAGGAAACGGCTGGCAGGTCGTGAGATCTCTGCGATGCTTCAAGCGCAGCCGCTACCGGAGCTTGGGGCAGGACACGAGCGGCCCAGCGGAGCAGAGTATCCAGCAGAGCATGTGCAGAGCACGCCTATGGCGCTTTCCTCAGGAGGAGGGCGAGGAAGAAGTTCTGGACCAACAGCAACAAGTCAATTTTTCTTTCGGTCAGGCTCCTGAGTTGCAAGTTTCAGCTGATCACAAGGGATCCCATCCGGAAAATTCCAGTACTGTTACGTAGGCTTTGCGCCAGCTCCATGCACAATGCTGCGCGATTGCGCAGCCTTTTGAGGTAAGCAAGCAAAGAAAAAGCTGTCCTTGTGTTGTCCACAGCCAACTCCGAAAGCTGTGCACGCTAATGTATGCAGCACAATCCGGCACTCGCCTTCGCTCGACTGTCTGTGCATGGACTTTCCTTTGGGGAGTCTGTTTTTCAATTCATTTTCGTTCGGTGCTTTAGAAAATGGGCTGGGGGTCCTTTCGAAGGCAATGAAGGAAGGAAGGAATGCCGGGAGAAAGACAGGAAGGAAGGAAGAAAGGAAGGAGGGATAACAACAAACAACAACTACTACAACCATAACAAAACCAACAACAACCACTCCAACCATAACAACAACAACAACAACAACAACAACAACAACAACAACAACAACAACAACAACAACAACAACAACAACAACAACAACAACAACAACAACAACAACAACAACAACTGCAAACATAGCAACAGCAACAACAACAACAACAACTGCAACCATAGCAAAATCAACAACAACCACTACAACCATAACACAAACAACAACAACCACAACAACAGCAACAGCAACAACAACAACATCATCAACATCAACAACCACTACAACCACAACAACAACAACAACAACCACTACAACCATAACGAAAACAACCAAGACCACTACAACCATAGCAAAATCAACAACAACCACTACAGCATTACCAAAACAACAACAACCACTACAACCATAACACAATCAACAACAACCACTACAGCCATAACACAATCAACAACAACCACTACAGCCAGAACAAAAACAACAGCAACAACAACAGCCACTACAACCATAGCAAAAGCAACAACAGCAGCAACTGCAACCGTAACAACAACAACAACAACCACTACAACCGCAACAAAAAAGCAAAACACGACCACTGCAACCGGAACAAAAACAAGAACCACAACCACTACAACCAGTACCAACCCAACATCAATCACTACAACCAGTACCAAAACAACAACATCAACCACTATACAGGCATAACAAGAACAACATCATTAGCAACCACTACAACCATAACGCACCCAACAACAATCACTACAACCGCATCAAAAACAACAACCGCAACCACTACAAACAAAACAAAATCAACAACAACCACTACAGCCATAACACAATCAACAACAACCACTACAGCCAGAACAAAAACAACAGCAACAACAACAGCCACTACAACCATAGCAAAAGCAACAACAGCAGCAACTGCAACCGTAACAACAACAACAACAACAACAACAACCACTACAACCGCAACAAAAAAGCAAAACACAACCACTGCAACCGGAACAAAAACAACAACCACAACCACTACAACCAGTACCAACCCAACATCAATCACTACAACCAGTACCAAAACAACAACATCAACCACTATACTATACAGGCATAACAAGAGCAACATCATTAGCAACCACTACAACCATAACGCACCCAACAACAACCACTACAACCGCATCAAAAACAACAACAGCAACCACTACAAACATAACAAAAACAACAACAACAACCACTACAACGATATCAAAAGCAACAACAACCACTACAATCAACACAGAAACAGCAGCAACAACAACAGCAACCACTACGACTACAACAAAAACAACAACCACTACTACCATAGCCAAAAGCAACAACAGCCACTATAACCATAACCACTACCACCATAGCAAAAACAACAACACAACCACGATAATGACGATATCAACATCCACAACATCTACAACGACCATACAACGACAACTACAACCACAACCCATAACAACAACAACTGTAGCTTCAACAGCAACAACAATAACAGCAACAACAACAACAACAGCGGCAACATCATCACCACCAACAACAACATGAGCAGCACCACCACGCAGAAGCAACACCGAGGCAAACACAACACTAACACAACAACAACTACAACAACAACCACAACAACAACAACCACAACAACAATAAAAACTACGTTACGTTTGCAACTTCAACTACAACTACAAGGACAACAACAACAGCAGCAACAAGCGTAATGACAGACGTCAACGAGCAGCGGGCACCGCACCACAGCAGGAGACAGATGCAGCCAGCATCTTGTGCGGAAATAAGACGCAGGGCCCAGAAATCAAATCAGCGAAAATTGTGCACGGCACCACAGCGGGGCGACACATGCGGCCAGCATCCTGTATAAACGACGGGACGTGAACAACAACAACAACAACAACAGCAACAAGTGTAAATGACAGACGTCAACGAGCAGTGAACACCGTATTTCAGCAGGAGAGAGACGCAGCCAGCATCTTGTGCGGAGAATGGGACGCGCGACCCAGAAATCAAATCAGCGAAAATTGCGCACGGCACCAAACCAAAAAAAGAACGAAATAAAACTCCACCCTTTTTCTGACCAGGCGCGCCAGCCGAGTAAAGCATTCGGGGACCGCTCTGTCGTGGCGGGTCAGGCGGCACTGTTGCGAAGCAGCGGCACGAGCCAGGAAACGTCCATCTGTTCGCGCAATGTCGAATGATTTCGAATGCAGATGGTAGCACACTCCCGACGACATGGGGGTTCTGTGCTTTGTTTGTTCAGGCAGCTCTTGAGCGCCGCTTTTGGCCAGAAACAGGGTTCTAAGGATAGTAGCACTGACCCAAATGAAACGGGCTCAGGCTTTGAGGGGGCTTTGACCACGAAGACTTTCAGACATGCACCGCACGTTGTATTTTGGATATCGCCTGTTGGGTGCCTCGATGAGGGCAGGAGCTGGTGGTTTCCCTTTCCTTAGAGAGGATGGCACCGCTTTTGGTTCAGGCTGTCATGAAGCTGTCGCTGGTGTGCATGGTTGCAGTAACGGTCCTTTGTTCGGAACTTACTCCACAGTCCGCAGTGCTCCGCAGTGCTGGAGCTCCGGCGGTGACTTGTGTTGAGGCCTCGTCCGATCTGGAGAGGCGGAAGATCTGGACCCGAGAGCAGGGCCCCAGGCCCTCAGCAGGGCTTTTGCTCCAGCAGCCGTTCGGCAGCCGGGCAGCCGGATGGCACGCGGAGGCCACAGAGGAGTATGAAAGGCTCCGATTCAAGGAGGACTCACCGCTTGTGCCCTGCCCTGCGAAGCGTGGAGCGTGTTTTGCGGGGCGGAGTCTGAGTCTCTGAGTCTGAGTCAGGTGCTTTATCTGGCCACGGTGGAAATGCTCATTTGCGGGTCCTGCGCTGCAACTGCAGCTGCCATGTACTCACGCCAAGGGCACCATGGAGGCAAAAAAGGGGGCGCTTTGCGCTCTGATCTGGTCTGGATCCGCTCATCTGCAGATTCCGAGGCATCAACTGAGGCACCCTGCAGAGCAGGAGCAGTCGGCTCTTTTCACGAAGGCGGTGGACCGGCGGGAGTGCCTCTATAGTGCCTTTTCGGCCCCCCCCCTTGTCTAACAGAGAGGTCGAACTTTGCAAAGATCCCGGCTTGGAGGAAGTGAGTCCAAGAGTTTGCAAAGGGGGGAGAGGCCTTGCCCGCTACTTGGGAGGACTGCCAGCTCTACGGTGCCGACCCCATCAAGGCCAGAGCGACTTCGGTGTGACATTTTAACTGCATCTGTGAGGCCTTGGATTTCGTCCGAGTTTCGGAGCTCAGGGCTTCGCCGCGCATGTCGCGTGCCATGCGTGCCCCTGCCGGCGTTTATTAGCCGCAGCCCTGAGGCTCCGATGGTTTGGAGTGTCTGGTGGTGGAGGACCGAGCCTCGGCGACTCGGGGGCGGCGTCTCAGATGCTTCCACCGCAGCTCTCATGGAGGACATTCGTAGAGGTTCCTTGCTGGACCGCTGGAATCATCGCAGCCATGACCTTTCCCCAGAGGCGAGGCTGCGTGGCCCGTTGCGACCTTCGCTGTTACGCTCCTGCTGCCTCGCCGCAGGAACTTGTCGAGCAGGCAATGGGCTGTTGTTGGGCCCTTCCCAAAGGTGCGAGGTTTTCATTCGTGGCTTCGAGAGGCCTTGGGCGAAGAGCACGCTGGAGGAGGCGAAGGCGGAGGCGCACTGGCGCATGTGCGAGTTCGACAATTAGTCAAGTTGCCCATGGCTTCCGAGCGCGCGACGACAGGTGCTTCGCCTCAGACAAGGCCATGGGGCGCAGGGCCCGCGGGGACCGTGGCTGGAGCGGTGGCGTGCCCCGACTCTGCGACGTCTCGAGCCCGCATCCGGCCAGGCGGGCCACGCCGGCCAAGGCTCGCGATTTCCTCGCATCTCGGGCCCGCAGCGCCGCTTTGCACCGCTCAGCGCCGGTCTGCTGGGAGGTGGCGCTGGGCTCCGCGGTCGTGGCGGTGAACGACGTGTCCGCCGGATTCAGAAAGACCATGCATGGCGCGGGCTTCTCCGGCTTCTCCAGCTTCTCAGGCTTCTCCGGCTTCGGCTTCAGGTACGCCGATGTGGGCTTGATGCAGCAGCAACTCACCAAACCACACGCTGCTCCCCAAGCTCCGCTCTGCTGCGCGGCTGTGCTCTGCCACCCCTCTATAGGTTACACTCTGGGTGCGGCGGGAAGATGACGGCCTCCACCCGAGCGAGCTGGATGCAGGCTGCGAGGGCTGCGAGGGCTGCGAGCTCCGCCTCTTGTGTTAGCTGCTTTTTCGTGCTGCCGTTTTGAGGTGTTTTCGGTGCGGAGGTTCCTCCTGTGGCGACGACTGCAGGTGCGGTCTTCGTGGTTGGCCCCTGGAACTCTTACAGCGTTTAGCTTATCATCCGTATTGAGAGGTCCCGTTTCCACTCTGGGAGCCGTGGAAGAAGGCATAGGCTTTCCGGTGTGGTGCGGGGCTGGGGCATCCGCGAGTGATGTGGGGGCTTGAAACCTCCCCAACAGCGTCGCTTCGCAGTTTAGGGCTCTTCTCTGTCTCTGTCTCTCCTCCCGTCTCTCCCTCCCATCTCCCATATCTCCCTTTCACATGCTGCGGAACTGCGGCTGCGGAACTGAAGCTGCGTGATTTGTCAACACATCTTCACATCTTCTCTCTCACCTGGTTTTTGCTCTGGCAGGGGCTCCGGCTGGCGGGCAGCCTGCGGCAGCTCCACGAGTGGCACGCATCCTACGGACGCTTCGCGCGAATCCGAATCGCCGAGGGCCCTAGGCGGTTCTGCCCTGACAGGCTTGCCTCGCCATGGAGGCGCGCGGCTACTGCGCCTCTCACGAGAAAGATGCGGAGAAAGCTTCCGACCTTTCCGGCTGCGGCTCCAGAGGACGAGGAAGCACAGATCCTCATGCGCTGGACGGCCATGGCCTCAGCGTGGCCGCGTGGCCGCGTCGCGTCGTGTCTCGGGCCGGGAGCCCGCCGAGCCCGCGGCCTGAGAGCGAGAGCTGGAGCCTTGCAGCCATTGCAGGTCTGCGGCATCATGTTCGGATGGCCCACGCCTCAACACGCAGGCTCAAAACTCTCAGACAAGGGGACGTGGCACTCAGGGTGACGTTGCTCCCGGTTCTTCTGATGCAGCCTCACGAAGAAAGGTGTGGTGCCGAGAGCGCTGCATTCTCTGCCCTCTGCTTTGCTGTTTCTCCTCCGCCAGCTTCCGCGATACTCTGCAGCCGTTTTCATGTGTTTCGGTTGAGATTTGAGACGACGTTTCGACCGCAGCTACGAGCATTCAGGATGGGCGGAGGTCCCATTCCACCACTGCACTTCCACTGCCACTGCGCAGGGAGGGGACAGGCGAGATGGCGGGTCAGCTCATATCTTAACACCGACCCCATGGTGGTGTGTGATCTCATGTCTTGAACCCGGATTGCGGTTGATTTCCTTTGTCGAACCGCCCTCTCATTAGGCGAGCGGGGTTGCTCTCATATGTTCATCCCGTCCCCCAGAAGGCGATCGCGGTTGATCCTATGCCTCTCCGGCGATGGCGGTTGGTTTCGTATCTCAAACCCGCCCCTCATTAGGTAACTGGGATTGGACCCATGCACAGCTTAAGCCCCACTGGGAGATGGCGGTTGATCCCATGTATCTTGATCTCATATCTTGGAAAATCTCAGCTGCTAAGTCGGCCCTGCGACGGCGATGACGGTTGACCTCAAACATGGCATGTCTTGAACCTGACCCTCATCATTTGATGGTTGATCCCGTATCTGAAACTCGCCCTCCATTTGGCGATGGCAGCTGATCCAACATGTCAAACCGGCCTCGTCGTTGGAACTACGGTACATAAAACATGTCTGGAGTAGGGTGTGGTTGGAAAACTTTAGTTGGCAAATTCCCGCATTCAAGATACAGACCCTAAACACCAAGTGGCACAAAGCTTCGAATGGCACACTTTAAGCTTTAGAGTTTCCGTGCCTACATTTTTCGGAACTTTCGTACCGGAGCCCCGTTTCCTTCACGTCCTTGACACTCTCAAGCTTTTTCTCGAAATTTTGAGGAATTCGATCTTTGAACCTTTCAACCTTCGATCCGTTCGAACATCAAGCTGTCGACTTTTCAATCTCCCAGACTCTCAAGCTGTCAATCGTTCAATCTCAAACTCTCAAACATCAAACTTTCAAACTCGAGCCCCGGGGCGGGCGCCCTTTTGACGCCTGTGTCCGCCACGGACACCGTCGCCGCGGCTTCAAACTTTCAAACTCGATTCCTTTTCAATCGTTCAAGCTCCAAACTCGCACCGGCTATCTTAAAATTCGAAACTTTCACCTTTCGAACTTCAGAGGTTTCATACTCCAAGCTTTTCATTTTTTCAACTCTCCAATCTCGCGTTTGAGACCGTTCACGTCCCCGCGTTCGGCCTCAGCGCTTGTGGCGGGTATTTGCGACCTTTCAGGTATAAGCCATCAATTGGCTGCTACCGACTGTAGACGTGCGGCGAATTCGCAAAAAAAGGGGAGCCAAGACCCTGAACCTTTAGCCGGCCTTTCCTGTAGGTGAACAGTGAGTCGTCCCAGCTCTTGCGCGGAGATTTCCATCATCCGACATGATCGTCATCGCCTTCGCCGCTGTAAGCCGTCAGGCTCTCATCACAAAGCGGGTCCAAGTAGGTGGCACCACCCGGTCTCAAAAGAACACGCCCAACCGAACCCAGTGCCTAGCACCTCCAGCTGCAAGATGTCAAAGCGCTTCTTGAAAACTGCTCCGGAACCGCGGAACCGGTACTTGCACGATTTCTGAAGCTCGACCTCAGTCCTGGCGGTCTACGAAGGAGGGAGGCGAGCGGCGGAGCTGGGCTTATCACAGAGGTTGGCTTCACCATCATGTTGGTGCCAAAGAATGACCGTGAAGGCAAGTGGCCGCTCTTCCACGAAAAAATACGGTGAATGCAAGCTGATGCCAACAAAAACTCATTCGGTGAAAGGAAACGACGGGGTTCGGAGCCAAAATCACGGGGGGAAGGCTCGGTTGCCTTCGCCATGGCTGGGGCGCCATTAAAAGCGACC